ACTGGATATCGGCAAAGTTGGAGGATGTGGGGGGGGGCAATGAGACACATAGAGGGACTAGGGGGAATGAGACACAAAAATGGCTGGGGGAGGGAAATAAGTTACATGGAGGGGCAGGGGAGGGAAATGAAAAACACGGAGGAGCTGTGGGAGGGAATTATGACACATGGAGGAGCTTGGAAAGGGAAATGAGACACTTGGAGGGTTTGGGGGGAATGAGACACAAATTAGTTGAGGGGGGAATGAAACACATGAAGGGGCTGAAAGGGGAATAAGACACAAGGAGGGGCTGGGGAAAGAAAATGAGACAATTGGAGGGGCTGGCGATGGCTGAGACACACAGAATGGTTGAGGGGGGGGGAGACATATGGAGGGGCCGGGGGAGGGAATGAGATACATTATGAGGCGGGGTGGGAAATGAGAAACATGGAGAAGCTGGGGAGAGAAAGAAACACACAGATGGCTAGGGGACACACACAAATGGGCTGGGAAAGGGGAACAAGAGACAAACAGAGGGACTGAGGATGGTGAACAAGAGACTTGTAGTGAGGCTGGAGAAGAGGAGAATGAGACACACACAGGGGTTGTAATGAAAGAGACACAGAGAGGTGCTGGGGCAGAGAAAGAAACACACAGAGCGGCTGAGAAGGGGGATAAAGCGGATGGGCCTTAGAGGCACATTAAATGAGTTTGGGGAAAACACCACATAAAAGGCACTGAGAGAAAGCGACATGTGCAGCACCTACATTCAGAGTCTTTACTCTGCATGGAGGCTCTGAAAGCTCTCATATAGATGCATTTATAGATGCATTGATGAGGAGATGCTTATTGGTGCAGCATGTTGCCATGCAAGCGCAATAGCCTCTCAATGCTTTCCTAAGTAAAAAGCACATTCATAGGACTTCAAAATAAATGAGAAGTCATTTTTTACAGCTGTGCAAAAGCATACATTATCCATTTCCATTATCAAACTTTTCTTAATATGTCAAGGTAGTTGGACTGAAATAGTTTTAAATTTTAAGTTTTTCACCTCTGTATGCTGGCACAAAAGCATTATTAGGCTGGTATAGAATCCAGGACTGCTTTAGTTCATAGTCTGGCCTTGATTATATGAAAACAGGCTGAGAAACGTATAGGTTAAATTGAATGACAGAATAATTTTTATGCTTTGATAATGTGAAGTGTGTGGGTTCTAGCACAGTTAGGTCCAGAAATATTTGGACATTGACATACGTTTTGTTATTTCTGCGGTTTATTAAAATAAATCAAGTTGTGGTTAAATAATGAATATGAGTAGTGATGTCGCGAACCCGAAATTTTCGGTTCGCGAACGGCGAACGCGAACTTCCGCAAATGTTCGCGAACCGGCGAACCGCCCGAAACGCCATTGACTTCAATGGGGAGGCGAATTTTAAAACACACAGGGACTCTTTCTGGCCACAATAGGGATGGAAAAGTTGTTTCAAGGGGACTAACACCTGGACTGTGGCATGCCGGAGGGGGATCCATGGCAAAACTCCCATGGAAAATTACACAGTTGATACAGAGTCTGGTTTTAATCCATAAAGGGCAGAAATCACCTAACATTCCTAAATCACAATCAATATGGATTGACACCTGACATATGACATATTGACACCTTGACATATGGATTGACACCTGTCCTCAGGACCCTGATACACACTGACACAGAGCAGAATAGGGAATGTTACCCCAACATCGGGTCACTTGGCAGATATGGATTGACACCTGTCCTAAGAGTCCCTGATACACACTGACACAGAGCAGAATAGGGAATGTTACCCCAACATAGGGTCACTTGGCAGATATGGATTGACACCTTGTTACAAACTGCTATTTGTAGCGGGCCCTTTAAATGGCAAATTGCCCTGTTTCCCTGGGTTGTGGAGAAGCCTCTTTGCCAGCCTCCTCCC